CGTATCGCCCGAGGTGTCGGCCCTCAGATCTTATGAGACAATCTCAAGATCTTTCAGAAAATCTTAAGATGAAAACGAAAGGTCTCAAGATCTTCCAAGATATTTTAAAACCATCTTGAGATTTATCCATAGCATCTAGAGATGCTTTTAAAAATATCAAGATTTTTTAAAGATCTCATGATTTATAAAGCAATCTCAACAATCTCGAGATGCTAAGATAGTTTGAAAACTCTTGGAAAGATCTTGAGACCTTTCGTTTTCATCTTAAGATTCTCTGAAAGATCTTGAGATTGTCATGAAAAACCTCAAGATTGCCTCATAAGATCTCAAGATTTCGTCTAAAATATTAAGATCTTTGGAATAAATCTTGAGATTTTTCCATTTTTAACGAAGCGTGAAGACCCCCGCTGGGGGTCATTATGATCAGCTATGTTAACAGAGATGTTTTTGACAAAATATAGGATATGTACCTCTAAACTGTAAACAGCCAGAGACATTAGTCCAAAGTGCTCTGCTCATTCCAATAATAATCTGCTCGCTATTAAAAACTAAGTACTGATGAAGTGCACTTTCAGTACATGTTTATGTAGACTGTTATAACTTCTGAGAAGAAATCATATGCAATCTGATAAAACAAAGTGTACAGAAGGATATATTGACCAGGATTATTTTTCTGATGGCTATTAAAAAATACTTCGGATTCGCCATTAAAATAGTTCATCAAGTCAAACCCCCTGATGCAGACAATCTGTGGAGATTCAAGATTTTCAATGCATGTGTAACCCGAATTCAGACAACATCACAATTGCAAAAAGTGGCTTTCCTAGATCTTCCTCCATGATCAGTTTCTCGCTTCTTGAAGCCTACATTCCTAAATTTACTTCGAAGAAATTCTAGCGAACTTCCTTTCACTAACGGCGGCCATCTTGCATGTCTTGAAAGACTGCAGAAAAAAAGCCCTTCTATTGGTTCCCATACGTCACATGACCAACTGGTAAGAGAGACACCTACCATCTCTTGATAAAACTGCAGTCTTCAATGTTTTTTTTGTGATTTATTTTTTGGCAACTCATCTGGTAAAATCATGTAAAATATGAAATGAAATAAAATCTTGTACGTCTTGTTATAAAATGATAAAAGAGCAGCGAGTCCTTCTGTCCTTTCCAACAGATGTCATGGGTAGATCTGTACTTACATGTATTTCTATAATATCCTCTTCATGTTGGCCAAAATAAATATATTGGCATTTTGAAAAAAAAATGGGCATAGGTTACCCGCTGTGACCCCTAACCGGGGTGAAAATACATGATACAAACTGCTCCTTTAGACAAGAACTGATCCCTTCGTAATAGGAAAAGGCCAAGGTCATCCCTCCGACAAAAAAATTTGCACCACTGAAACGGACCTAACAGTCGACCCATGAGCCTACTTCCAGCCAAGAGCTAAGTACGTAGTCGAGAAAATAGCTCAGAACAAATCCAAAGCTACCTTCTCCTCAATGACATCATGCCAACATGCGTGCAAGAAACATCATTCCACATCAAGTGATTTGATGTAGATGGCTGACAACTACAGTATAGCTGGCTGAAGTAGACAAAGGAAACATAGTAGCAGCAGTCGACATTGCCAATCACGACATCGTATTAGCATTCAACGATCATGCTGTGAGTTGGACAGGTAGTTACTTTTTGGGTAGGGAACAATCTGTTTGGATTCATGGGAACGTCTTGACATCAAGAACAAACACACAGGGAGTTCCCTAGGGGAGCTGCTTAGGGCCCTTGCTGTTCTGCCTTATAATAATAAACTGTACTTATAATAATAAACTGTAGTAAAATGCGACACAAGTCTGATATCGTTCCGTAGAGAACCCACTCCCCAAACACTGTGTGTCAGGGCCCTTACATCATCACTAGAATACAGAATTATGCACGGTATGCAGCTCTCTCACAAAACCAGAATATTCATAAACATGAATTTGTGTTTTAAAGTAAAGAATAAACGTTTGAGTGGCTTCTAAATGCAAACAAATGGCATTATGGAGCTTAAGAACCACCGGTTACAACCTCAGACCTGCTAGCGGTAGACTACGCCATGGGAAAAGCTCTGTATGCAAAGCAGACATAACTGCAGGGATGGAAGCTGAATGTTCAATTCAACATAAGCAGCAAAAAAGACCGTCATGGCAATTGTATGCAGCAAAACATTCCAACGATACTGCCAGCTTCTTGTAACGACGCTCACTCTCAATTTCACCGTTAGTCTCGTGGTTGTGAACCACACAGTGAAACAACACGGTCACACAAACACACTCAACCTCACTCTACGGCACCCCAGACTAAGATGGCGCTAGGTTCCAGAGATGACAAAAACGCTCATTTGATATACATCCGCACAACAACATTGTTTTACGCAAATCATACAAAATATCCAAATCATGTCTTAATATTGAGATACTGAAAGCACACATTAAATTAAATTAGAAAGTAGTAAATAGAGCAATTCTGTCACCTTCTACAACACTGCAGGCTTGTTTGCAGAGAGAACTATATTTTCTCCGTACATGGATATTTATCGCCGATGACAGTGAAACAACAACAGAAGTGCGTGTAAAAAGGGCCAGAACAATTTCATTCTGAGATAGATGGCATTGCAGAACATTTTGCACATTACACTTGGGTTGACTATACAAATTACACCAAAGTTCTGACACAACATTACTAATACTACTCATTGTCTTGCTCATAATGAATAACGATGCTGTTTCTGTGGTTCAGCAAAACTTTTAGGTCGTCTGTCCCCATGTCTGAGGGTTTTCTGAGTTTGAATCCTTCCGGTAGCCCCTCCACCACCACATTTCCCTCTTTCAGCAGCTTGTAGAGAAATTTGGAGTTTACATCTGGATGTAAACCTGAAACAAAACAAATCTGCTATTGACGTCAAACATTAATTCTGTTATCAGTCTATATTGAGCAAAACAAATCTTGAAGGTGGGAGTGTTGGTAAAGCATTTTATTGAACTTGATCAGATGACTCAAGAAGTTCTTTCATTGTATACATATTTTAAGACAGCAATAAATTCAAGCCATCAACACTGTATTTATTGCACCATGTCTGCTTGATTGGAACATATGTCATCAAAAGTGCTTTACAGCTCCTGTTTGTGTAAAGCCTTTAATTGTCACTCAGATCCATTGCGGTTGTAAATGGAGGCCAGTGTTGATTCGACAGAAATTCTCAACCTAAAGAATAGATTACACATTTCCCAAGTTTCCTTGTTGGCTTCTGGAGTGCCACTATATACGCAAACTATTCCTGTGGGTGTATTACTGTAGAGCGTTGAGTGAGTCCTTCACGGTCTTATTTAGGTGGGGGAGGGTTTCTACCGGCATGTTATTGCTTTTCCTTCCACCCGTTCCATCCTTGTCTCTAGTTCTCCCTGGCGATGTAACAGCCACTCCAAATCCAGACGTAGAGACTGCACATTCCACGCTGTTGCCATATCTTTCAGTTTCTTGTAATTACAAACGGGCTGTAGAGCAGTCTCCTCCATTGTGGCGTAAAGCTTGTCCAGAAATCTAGAAGTGACTTGTTCTGTCATGGCGACCTCACCTCACGGACCACTGACGTAAACCATAGTAATTACCAAAAATCGCCCACCTGAAGACATTGAATTGGTCGGTAAGCATTTAATTAAGAAAATACACGTTATCTTTCTTCATGACCTCCATAAAGAGTTTTGTAGGCCGATTTGAGGCCCCTATATAGAAATACAGTTAACAAACGGTAGAGTAAAAAAATACGTAATTGAAATTAAACGGGCATTGGGCATACTTTTTTTTTTGTCAAAATCTACATATGGCATACAGATAGTAGCAATCGTGCTATTCGCCAGCTAAAATATTTACAGACGTGTACACAATATAATCATTAATTTAAACATTAAAGTTCCAATCGATTGCCCCTAACATAGCAATTAATTACAGAATCTTCTGTTGCAATTGCGTATTCATCAGTTTCAGCTATTGACTAGACTAATCAGCATTTAATCGGCGTGACAAATTATTGTGATGATTGTCTACTGACCCCATGGGATATAATTAGTCTCCATTCATATTTATGTACAAACGGGTACAATAAAACCATAGCAGCCTGTAACAAATCACACAAAAAATCATAAACAGATTTTTATTCGGTCCGTACGGTTTTAGGAGCTCCAACGTTACTGGTGATATTGTCAGTGCGCACGAACATCACTGCTTTGACTCCGTCATACGATGGATGATATGGATGATGCAGTTGTAAATCCAACTCAAATCTGCGATTCTTCTATGTCTACATCAAGCCCTGTGAACCAAAATGACATACAGCAACACTGGGACTCAGCCACCCCAGAAGAGCGGAAAGACACGTCGCCCGGGGATGTGAAAGAGTCGCTACAGGATGCTCCTAGCGGCGCTTCGGCTGAACACAGCACTGACGACGTGACAGAGCGTCCATCGCTACCGACTGTCTGCCCGTCTTATACAAACATAGGAGAAACTGACCAGAATCAAGCTTTTCACTCAGAAAAGCCTTCGTTACCGGAAACGTGTATATCGGATACACACGTTGACCCGGTTAAACAAAATCAAGCACTCTGTGCTGATAATTCACAGGAAAAGGCAAAACAACAGTCGTCAACTGACATCTACGATGCCGAAGGTTATAACGAAAATAACGTAGCACAATACCAGGTAAGGGATACCTGTGTTAAAGAAGTATCATCTACTGCCTACCAATGCAGTGAAGATGTAGACGGGGCAAGCATAGACACTGATTGTTCAAAAAAAGGAGCGGAAGGCTTGGACCAGCCTGTCGCCAAGCAATTAGAGGATGCCGAAAACTCTTATCAGAATGAATTTGAATTAGAGGAGGAAGTCACTGCAGACGATAGTTGTATCCGTCCGTATGCAGTCGCGCACCAACCGGACAGCAAAACAAACCGTGAAGAAGACGATATGTTTGACGTCCAACCCTACGCCGTAGCTTACGATGAACAGGATATAAATTATGACGATCAACAACCGACTGGCCAGTCTGCTGATTGTTCTCATGACGAATGGAGAGGACCCAGCACCGGTTTAGGTACGTTTGTGACAGTTACAACTGTTACATTATAGGAAATTTTAATAGACTTGTCAACCTATGATTTGTAAACAATAAATCCATTATCCAAAATTTCAATCATGAAAAGATTATTTACGTATGGCTGAGACATAGTTAATATGTATCGTTTAACACTACAATTTCTTGTTGAGGACATCGATTTTTTTTATTGAGTCTATGTTTTATTCGTAGTTTCATCGTTCATCCTCTGTGAAAGGCATTAGCCTGTTTAGCTACAGAGGGCGATTAGATAATATAGTTAGCATATCATTTACTAATGATATGATTTTTTTTCATGTTCTTGCCCAGATGGGTATTCCTAGTGTTTAATAGCTTAACCCTATGTAGACCGGGCTTTTTTTAGCAAGATTTGACCGGGAGGGGGGCTCTTTTTACCCCCCCCCTCAGAACTCGCTAACGGTATGTCGTATGACTACCAAATTTTCAGAGGATGGTGTACTAGTAAAAATTTATCATAACTACAATTTTTTGTCATTATGACGTAATATGACGTCATTATGATTTTATTAGCCAAAACCGTCTAGATAGGCTATTCCCTGAAAACCAAATGGTATACAACATAACTTTGCCAAAAGTGTTTATGACAGAATATTAGGGTGTACTAAGTCTTATGTTGCCCATAGCAACACCGGTGACGTCATAAAATGACGTCATACATATTTAAGATATCCGCCATCTTGGATCATCAATGTTGAATTTTCAAAAATAGTTTTTTTTCGTGATAAAGCCTAAAATACATTGTAAACATACTAAAGACCTTCATTTAAACCTTTTTTGGAAAAAGAAATGGAAGTATTGAAGAAATTTTAAGGAAAATAACCTGTATATAACTGAGCGAGATGCCCCAGAGAGGGCTTTTCTCAGTACTTATAGAATAGAATACCTGTTCTAATGATATGGTCCGCCATCTTGGATTTTGGCCAATGACGTCATTAAATTAGCATAAATTATGCACATTTAATGATAAAATTTACATAAAATTACATGAGATGTTATTAATATTAGAAACCATGAGTAACTTGACATAAAACCCATAAAATTCTATTGTTAAAACAAAAATTACTAAATTTAGCAAAAAATGCCTGTCAGAAACCCGTTGCCATGGCAGCACAAAAAATCATTATCTTATTCTAATGATAGAAAATTGTTGCCAACAATGTTTTAGGAAAAGTCACCAAGTTTGGTCTTTCTAGCCCTAGCCGTTCAGATGCTATGTGACATCAAAGTTGGCGCGGGCACTTTTAGCCCCCCCCCCCGGTGTAGATAGGGTTAAGTTAAAAGGTACTTCGAGTCAAAAGTAGCACTGCTGAACATTGGGGAACTTCTGTCCTTATAATGTTGACTGCAGAGTCTGTTGCCGGTAAGACGGACGGTCTACTTCGGAACCCCATGTACATCGGGAACGTGTTACACCAAAACCCCATGTACGCTCCAAATGCTGCACAGCCAAGGGCGGATGGAGGTAAGATGCCACAAATTTACCAAAGTTACCACATTGTTACCCTATGTTGCGTTAAGAAAATTTATCTCATCAGTATATTTCACTTGCTTTAACACAAATACAAGCTTCTATTCCGAACTAATATTAAACACAGGTACATAACTACCTTTGTTATCTCCGGCAACATGGTGCTTATTGGTAGCTTTGTGAAAAGGGGATCGGAAGAAGCGTATACTAGTATATATATATATATATATATATATAATGCAGATAACCATAATAGAAGTTTGAAACCACTAGTCTTAGGCCGTTCACTTTCCCTGAGGAAAATTCTAGGACTTATTCCTCCTACCGTCCATTTTTGGTCATTTCTATTGAAAATTACCAGCATAAAAATGTCCGTAGAGACAAATGGTACTATGCAGTTGCCCTTATGGTAATGTTTGAATTCAGTTTTTCTCTTTATTGCTGCTTTCCAGGTCATAGTTGTGTGGTGTCCCAATCCTGTCTGGTGGGTATCATTACCAAAGGCCTGGTCGTGGCGACGCTAGCGGTTATAACAGCGCTTATCATCTCAATCTACGTCCCAGCGAAGCAAGACAGTTACATGCAAACGGTACGTTTTCTTGTACGTTAAAATTCCAGTCAACATTCAAATCACCAGCAGACCTTCTACTATTCAAAGATATAGGAAACTAATATTTTGGAGACAAAACAATTTTTTTTATTACATTTAACGTGTTTACTTCTGTAGGTATTAATTACTGAAGACTATTTTCTTCTTTTCCGTACTCAGACTTGGATAAACCCAACTTTTGAAGTCAAAACTTCAACTGACGTAATCCAGTATATAAACTACACATCGCCTCCACAACCAGACATCAAAAGGTGATTCTTCGTTATGTTAACCTCACTTGGCTAGTTGGTCACATTAGCTTCAGTATAACATCTTTGTTAACAGTGAAACTACCAGATAGATTCAGGCATAATATCTAAGCATTGCCTTTATCAAGGTCTCTCACTGAGTATTATAAATAACCATGAATGAATACATCGTGATTTAAAACCATAACTTTCCCAGTCATATACATGACATACAAATTAATCTCCAAGCAGATCTTTCGGTGGCAAGACAGTATCCATTGGCCAGAGGAGTGTCCATTAAACGTGAAAGGCTATTAACACCTAGTTGTTGCCTGATCAAAATATTCTTGCCAAGGAATTTATT